CTAAGGTGTGAAACATGCCAAATAGCTTCCCTCACAGAACTAGAAAGTGCACCAAGGACCCAAGAATCTTTCCCAAGCAACACATAGAATAATCTGAAGGAAGAGATCAAAATTCTTTGAGAAAATCAACCTAAATCCTGAAAAAGTTCCACTATGGCTCATCCAGAATCAGATCCTATCGAGTCTCTGTTCCAAAAAAATTGAAGATGGGGCAGGGCTACAAACCAGGGAGCTATATTAAAAAATTCCCATGTACAAAAACTGGCAGCTCAATCGCCAGAACTGGAAAGAAATTGGTGCCAAGAGCGCCAATTTTTGTGGACACATAATCGATTCTAGAACTCAACCCAACACATATTTAAGAACCTTCTAAATAATCCAAGCAGAACTCAATGTCAGTTGAACGACTGAATTCTGAAAAGGATAAGAAGAGATAGGCCTCGTCAATTTTAAACGTACTATCTCTGCTAGCGACATGCTTTAAAATTCTTTTTTAGTGCAAAATATATATAGGTGGGAGATAAAAAGAGGCGTAATCCATCTTTGACATACGCCTAACAATGACAGCCAATTTAGTTGGTGGGGGGGGGGGGGGGGGGAGGGGGGCATTTTCTCTTTAAGTCGACTAAAGTTTGATAACATGGGAGAGAAGAATTCTGACCAAGTTCACTCCTATGCGGAGAATCCAACACCTCCTAACCCCATAGAAAGGCCTTGCCCCTCCATACTTACAAGGAAAATATTATTTTGGCTATTCGAAGAAAAAGGTAAAAAGACTTCCTTACCTCGTGACGTAAAGGAATTTCATCAATACAAGGTACAAATACTTCATGTAGAACACGTTTGACTCACAAATAATCTTATAAAAAGAGATAAATAAACATGATTAATTATGGACCAATCGTCTGGACTTCTGACTCGCTAAAACACAACACAAAGTACAACCAAGTGTAATCGCAATCTAGAAACGTAGTATAGTGGATTCTGATTTACGTGTCAACTTAAGTCCTAGTTTTACTGTCTACTCCGTGAATATTTATTATCTAGTGGTTCAGTTCGAGTGAAGTTTATCAAAAGCAAAAAAAAGCAAAAAATGTTATTGTTTCAAGTATGAGTCCCCCTAGTCCGCAGTTAGTTCAGATTATAATTTCCCAATTCGTTTCAACTGCGGAAATTTCTTAACAAGTCTAGAATCTGGACGAAAGAATCCTAGACCCTCTCAGTTTGAAAACCTGGTGGGCGACTAACCTCCACCAACATAGACTAACTGAGGCAATAACACACCTAGTTCGATTACAGAGCAGTGAATCGATTCCTTGACTAAAGTAATTGATCCACTACTTCCAATTAAGGTTTCTCTATTAACCTATGTAGAGACTATCGTTCTAGGTTAAAGCAGGAATCACAAAAGTTTGATCAGGACTCATGCAATTCTGATTAATGCCTCAATTGAATATATCAAATCAATCATCCATAAAACGGGGTACATACAATCATTCCTAACATACAAGAATAGGGTTCTTCTAACCCAGATGAAAAGGGAGTTTACTCCACTTAGAGAAGAGAAATCGGAAAGCTTGGAAGAGAATTCACCATTTGAGGGATGAGATTATGCTCCAAGCTAGAAATTGGCATTCCCAGGGTGAAATATCGAGCTCTTATTTCCTTAAATCACTCCAATCCGTTCCCAATGTTGTTCTTCGTCACTTTCTCTCTAGGGATCTCTCTAGCTGTTTCTGAACTAGAAAAACCGGATCCCTTCTAATTTTCCCGAGCTAGCCTTATATATGATGGGAATTCGCGAGTTACGACCCTAACTCCCTTGCCCCAGCCTGTAACTTTCCATAAAACGACGACGCATCTGCACTCCGTAAACCAAGAGTTACGGCTTCTAAGGAAAAGTTATGGTTCAGTCCGTAACTTGGAGGGGGAGATCGTAACTTTAGAAGTTCTTCTAGATCCCTAGCTCCCTAACACTCAAAGTTACGGGTTACATGGGGAAGTTACGGTTCAGACCGTAACTTTTGAGGTATGGTCGTAAATCCTTCCTGCTCTCTACCTGATTGCTCCAAAATGTCCCGAAACTTGCTCCAACACCTCCATTCATGTACTAGGACCTAAAACATCATCAAGAAGCAGCACCTAGTGTAAAACGGGCCACAAAGCAATCAAATGCTAAGCCAAACGACTAAGAAATTAAGGGGGAAAAGTGTGAAAATAAGGTGTCATCAAATTTCCCCACACTTAATCGTTTGCTTGTCGGCAAGCAAACCTGACTCTAACCAATGCAACTCTCCTGACCCTTACAACAACATGCAACCGCGATCGTTGGTAGAGGACTTCCTAGGTCATTTAGCAACTTACAAGGTCAACTAGTTTTCTAAGACATCCCTTATTTCTCTCAATGTGAGTAGTAGACTAAAGCTAGGATCATGCTGACTCAACTCGAATATCACACTACAATCCCACCTAAGGCCCAAATATAAACCTTAAATGGGTGCAATATAGGGCAAGTATGTTTAAATATCAACTCGGGCCGGCCCATGTACCCCTACTTCAATTGTTTGAAACATTATCTAGCGGAATGTTGTTTGTGAAAATCTCTACAATATACTATTCAAAATCAAGACTTGAAAAGTAAAAAGTTTGAAACTCTTGGTGAGAAGCTTTACTCGGGAGTTGCTTCCCCCTAACTAACTACCATGCTTCATAAAGTACTTGTCTCATAGACAGCACGAACCTTTATACGACTATGGCCTACCTTGCTTTCTGCAAGTTGTCGCCTACCATAAGCTAGCTTTGAATTTGATACTTTTGTTGGGGAGATTATGTGCTATTAGACAGCCTCTGGGGCTGTCAAGTTAAGTGTTCATCTTCTAAGCGTCTTAGAATTCTGTTTATGGAGATTGCCTTCGAGGAGAGGAAGCACATGCTCGCTTTGTTTTTCATTTTTTTTTTCTAGTTCAAAATTGTCAAGAATCAAGATGAACTGGCCAATTGTGTATGGATTCAAATGATGATCAAGGTAAGTTTTTTCTGATTTGCTTGGGCTAATGAGAACGTTGTTCAATTTAAAGTGTGGGGTGAGTTTAGTAGACTGCACTTGCGGCTATCTTGTAAAAATTGTTGTTTTTTTATCTATGTATATGGGGAACGACTTTGTGTGCATCAAGAATAAAAATTTCAAAATTTTGAATAATGACACACTCCTCTTGGCAATTTCAAAGCTCGTCCTACTTTAAATTTTTAGTCTTGGCATTGCTACGTAATTGAGGGAGGTTAGTATAGTGGTTATGAAGGATGTTCTCCTCATGAGACTAAAGACTTTTCTCTGTGTCTGGAGACAATTCATGCCATCAATATCCTCAATGAGTTCTTATATACAAGGAAAACTTTCCCTCATTTTCCGACTTGGTGCGTCGGACTTTTATCCAATATACAACAAATAAATTGAATTTGTAAGTTCATGAATTTGTGGCTCGGATAGAATGCATTTGTGTTAGAATTAGAGAGAGATATCTTTTAAGCAAAGGCAAAGTGAGAACGACCAATAATTCTTGGATCCGAGTTGCATTTAATTTGTGCACCATTTTTAAAATTTTAAAAGTTAAGGTATTGAATTGTCATACTAAATAACCTAAAATAACTAAAATAAATCATTTAAGTAAATCTTTTGTAGAGAATAAAAAAATTTAACTACTGAATCATAATATATAGAAATTTATTGGATTTATATCAAGTGGAGATGAAATAGGTGGATTATTTAATTGATGTATTCCATTACTCTAATTTTTCACTTCACTTTTAATGGTACATTTTGTTGGCCGACACTGGACAATGTAAGGCTTGACTAGGATTTTGTGGTGAATCCTAGTTAGAATTGGAATGTTAGACATTGAGTGAATAACATCCAGTGGTACCTTGTACCCCGACTGGATATGTTGTAAAGTTAGTGCAGAAGAACTTCAATATGTGCTGACATGATTGAGTTGTGTATATCATTATCTTAATGCAATGAATAAATAAAAATACGATACAAAGATTCAACAATGTCGCGCGACATTAGCTGACCATCCTGTGTGTTAACATACTAGCCAAATTCCTTCTAGTACCCCCTTCTTTCCTCATTGAAAATGGATTACCTACATACGCACTCAAAATAATTTCTCTCTCTCTTTCTTATGGTTCAATGCTTTGGTTGAGGGGCGGCCATGTTCAACAATAAACCGTCATCTTCAACTGCTTTTCTTGTTTGCATACATAGTTATTTCACAACTGTAAGTCCTTTACGTGCAAACAAGCAATTAAGAAGTAGGTAGCTTTGGTTTTTGGTTTTTTGGTTTCCTCGTTCGGTTACTGTAGACAATAGGAATCCTCGAGGGGGAGCAGCATAATAATAGAGATGGATCCACGAGCAGTGCTTTAACTCGCTGTGAGATGAGGCAATTAAGCATTTTAGTATAGAAATCCTAGTTGGTTGCGCATGTGTATATTTAATGCATAAACAGGACCTTGGAACATGGGCAAGAAAGTCTAGGTCCATGCTAGCTAGCTAGCTAGCTTTTCAAGCCCCTCTAGTTCTATACTAAGTGGTTGCAAGTGCACACTTATAGTATTACTGCATCCCCCATGTTTTCTCTCCTCCTTTTTCCTCCTTCCAAGTTTCAATGCCACAAACCAGGAGCTGCTGCTGCTGCTGCAACTTTGCCTAATCTCGCTGCTCAACTCGACTCCCGTATTCTAGAAGGTGAACCCCTCTCCTCTTCTTAATCAATGATGGTTATTTATTATACCCAATGTTACCAAGTCTGTTGCCAACTTGATTAGGAAGAAAAAAAACGAACTAATAAATTTTCCTTAATAGTAAATAATGTGAAAACAGGAAGGAAATCTTCACCTAGCTAGTCTACACATATATTCTTTGCTTATTTAAGATTTGCTTGCGTGGGAGGAGAAAGCATATGTATATATATGGCACTAAAGATATGCCCGCCCGCGTGTGTATGGGGATTTCTGTCCTGTAGCTGCTGTTCTGCATATGGCATTGGCATTGGCATTGGTGCTGCTTTCATTGGTGAAGAAGAACAAGTAGCAGCAGCAGCTAGTGGTGGCGTGGCGTGGGATTGTGCTAAGCCCAAGGAGGGAGGGAGGGAGTTGTGGCTAAGCCCCTCTGGGAACCGGGCCGAACCGTTTTTGTTTGGTAGTAGTAGTAGTAATTACTAGTATATTGTACATAGGTTAGCGTAAAATTGTCGGTTTCCGAAATTTTGCTTTCTGGGGTGGGGCGGGCGTCGTTTTCAACAGCAAGCAAGCAGCACTGGGCTCTCCAGCATGTGCACCGGAAGTGGTGCTGAATCTCGAGGAGGGGTTATAAGTAGCGATGACTGGATTTCCAAGGCGGACGACGACCAACAGAATCCGCTGCTGGTGCAGGGAGTTCCTAATAATGCAGCCGCAGGTAGTGCTGCTGCGGCTGCGGCAGAGTCAGCAGCAGCAGCAGCGGCGATGAGATCAGCAAGAGGCGGACAGGCCAAGTTATTCGTCGATGGGCTTCTCCGCCGGTTTCCCATCAACGGCCAACTCGCCACGCTCCCATTGCAAGAGGTTAGTAATTAAACTTAAATTCCATCCATCCTCTTGCGCGCCTTATCGCTTTACACTTGAGCCATGTACGTCGGATAATATAATATATATCTATACATATCGCCTATGCGTGAAAAGTAAAGGTGTCGCCTTTGCGAAAAGTAGTCCATCTCAACGAATGCCCATTTACTGGAGTTTTTGTTTTGATTTCTGGGTTCCTTTCCAGATTCAGTTAATTAGCCTTCTCTCTCTACTTCCCCTCTTCTCTTCCAAATCCTCCATTGCAAGAATCATGTTGCCGATAGAGATAGGCGTCAGTTTGCTTTGTTATCGTTGGATGCACCAGTTTCAAACAGTAAGGTTACTGCTCTCGCGGCACCAACAGAGAGAGGAAAAAAACCCTGGGAAAGTGGGTTTTGGTAGGCAGAATTGTGGCATTGTCGAGGTAGTAGAGATGGAGACAGGCTGACGAAGCATTGACGCATATTCAGGATGGTAACGGGGGGAAAAGGCCGGCTAAGTAAGTTAGAGTAATAATAATTAGTACCACCCACCCGGAGAGAACACAAAAAAAGCCGACAAAGGGGAAACCCATCTTTAACATGGGACACTATAATTAGGGCAGAAAAACAATGGTTAGAGGGATCCCACCTTTTGCCTGCAGGCTGCAGCAACCCTTATATCCTACGCTTTTACCTTTTCTTTTTAGCTCTTTTCTTCTCTCTTTCCCTGGAGGTTATTAACTTATTATCACTTATCACTGTTCCTCCCTAGACAAAAATCCCAATGAAAATGACTTTTTTTTTTTTTTTTGGGTACAATATGCTTTCGGTACTTACTATTAACCTTAAAAAAGAATAAGGAACACCTGCTCCTGAAACTGGCAGTCCTCTCCTCCCTCTGTCCCTATTCAATCCTCTTACTTTTCAAGGGGGGACATACTTCATAGTACAGAGGTCCCAGTTCCAAGTTCGTTATCAGTACCCTAAACCACGTGCGTCTCCCTTTTGCCTTGCCTTGCATGTTAATGTTATTCCATTCTGGTCATGGGCTAGGCTTTGCCCGTCTACTGCTGGGCCACCGCTTTATGCCAACCTTGACGTTTTCCCCTTTGTCTTGCAGGTTGGAGAAGAGGTAGTCTCGTTAGGAAGGATCGCTTGCCCCATCATCCTCACAACCCTACTCATCCACTCGAGATCCATCGTATCGACTCTCTTCCTGAGCCATTTAGGCGACGTGGAGCTGGCCGGTGGCTCACTAGCACTGGGCTTCTACAACATCACCGGAGTCTCCATCATGAAGGGCCTCTCCGCCGGGATGGACCCAATATGTGGCCAGGCCTTTGGAGCCAAGAGATGGGCCGTCCTCAGCCAGACCTACCAGAAGATGCTCTGCCTCCTCCTCCTCGCTTCCACACTCCTCATCTGCCTCCTCTGGCTCAACCTGGAGCCCATCTTCCTCCGGTTCGGCCAGGACCCCGACATTGTCAAGTTCGCCAAAGTCTACATCATCTACTGCATCCCGGAGCTCATCGGTCAGGCCGTCCTCCACCCCATGAGATCCTTTCTCCGGACTCAAGGACTCACCACCCCGCCCACCATCGCCGCAATCATCGCAGCCATCTTCCACGCGCCCATCAACTACCTTCTGGTGATACAGCTCAACCTCGGGGCTAAAGGGGTGGCCCTGTCCCTAGCCTTCAGCACAATGAACATGAACATAGGGCTGCTCATCTACGTGGCCATGTCGTCCACGTCGATCAAGCCGTGGAGCGGGCTCACTTTCGTCTCCATGTTCCAAGGCTGGTGGCCGCTGCTGTCGCTGGCTCTGCCTTCGGTCATTTCGGTTTGTTTGGAGTGGTGGTGGTACGAGATCATGCTTTTCCTGTGTGGTTTGTTGGCCGACCCGAAAGCCAGCGTGTCAGCCACGGGGATTCTGATTCAGACCACGGGGTTGCTCTACGTGTTCCCGTTCTCGCTGAGCTGTGGGCTGAACACGCGTGTGAGCCACGCTCTCGGTGCGGGGCAGCCAACGAGGGCGCAGTGGACGAGCGTGATCGGGATCAGCCTGGCGTTCGGGTACGCGATCCTCGCCTGTGTGTTCACCAATTTCTTGGGGGAAGCGTGGGGGAAGCTCTACACGCAGGATCCGGACGTTGTGAAGCTGATATCGATTGGGCTTCCGATCGTGGGCCTGTGCGAGCTGGGGAACGCGCCTCAGACGGCTGCGTGCGGGGTTTTGAGTGGGACGGCCCGGCCCAAGGAAGGGGCCAGGATCAACTTGTTTGCGTTTTATTTGGTTGGGTTCCCGGTTGCCATCTTGTTGACTTTCCAGTTGAAGATGGGGTATCGTGGGCTGTGGCTTGGGCTTTTCTCGGCCCAAGTCGCGTGTGTGTCCATGATGCTGTATACCTTGTTGAAGACGGATTGGAAACACCAGGCGAAGAGGGCGGAGGAGTTGACTGCTGCTGTGGGAGAAAGGGATGATTTGGAAGACGGCTTGATCAACGACAGTAACGACGAGCGATGAAGACCATCTTGCTGTCTTGTCCCCCCAATGGTTATAACATCTAAGTCTAACCCTAAACCAAAAAAAATTAAAAAAAGATACGTAAACAGATCAAAGAGTGCAAATATGTCCCGTTTTGTTTCATTTATTGTTATGAACATTAGATAATTGATTGATTTTTTATAACAATCATCTCTTAGTTAAACTGTTCAAGTCATGCTGGTAAATGGTAATGACCTACTATTTACTTCTTCCGTTTTTTTTTTTTTTTTTTTTTTATTAGAAGGATGCAAGTTTTCAAACATCATCCTTATAACATAAGATTCGAAACAAACCAAACTCCAAAAACATCTAGCAAAAAATAAACTCCAATGTTAAAGCATGATCATAGGATCGAAGGCTAGTAATCCATTATGAACCTAACGGCAATTCTTGCATATAAAAGTATCCTTTCATATGATCGATTAAAACTTGTCATTTTTTTCGAGTTAGTTATGTTAGTAAATATATCTGGTTTTAATTGAAATGATATCATAGTCTTCATTGATCGAGAGATTTAATGTTTAAATTTCAATAACATCTCTCATGTTAAGCACATAGTATTCATACTTGTGCAAACATATTTTCTATGATTAATCAGATTTCTATTGAAGCAGAATAAGGGTTCTCAATTTAAGAACCTCAAAAGAGAATTATAGTTTACGGTCCAAGATAGGGTGCATAACCATAAAGAGAATTATAGTTTACGGTCCAAGATAGGGTGCATAACCCATGGTTATGCACCCGTTAGTAACCCAACAGGAGCCGTCAATCTGGAGCGGGGAGATCTAACGGCTGGGGTCGGAGCGGGGTGGGCAGGGGTATTTTTGTCCATTATTTGAATTTATGTCTTTCCCTCTTTATTCCTTTTTAGTTATTCTCGGTCGAGCTGGAATTGAATTTATGAGAGAGAATGAGAAGTAAACAGAGCAATCGAGAGCTTTTCTCCGAAGGATTACTCGATGGCGAGAAGGTCGGTGGAGGACGCGATTCTTAGCTTAATCGGCGGCAGACTTGCAAGTTATTAGTTGTTAGGTTTTCTTCTTCTCTTTTCTTCTTCTTGCTCAAGGTTTTGGCGCGATTTGCTTGTGTTGAAGTTTCTACTGGCTGTTGTTTGGTCTTTGTTGAGGTAATTTATATTTATAGTAAGATTTTATGTTTTCGCATTGATTCTGTTCTGTAATTTGTTTTTATTTTGTGTATATATGATTTATCTACGTTTTCTCTTTTGTGCTCTCTGTTTTCTGTTCTTGGTGATCTGTTTGTATAAGTTTGATCTGTTTGTATAAGTTTGTTCAGTTGATTGATCCGTAGTTGAATTTATGTTTTGTGCAGGAATCTTTTGAATCTTCTCTGTTGACTCAGCTTTTTTAGTGCAATGAGTGATCTTAATCAAGGCGTCATTGTTTCTTTGAATGAATCTAATACTGGATCTAGTTCTTCTCATAGCGTTGTTGAATGGGGAGGTAAGAATTTTAAATGTGTTTGGTAAGTTGAAGTTTGTATATATGTTATACCATACAATACATGTTATACCATAAAATACCATACTGGTATTTTATGATATTTTTGCATATGAGTGTTGTGTTTTATTTGTTGTAGATTGTTTTTATAATTGTTGTGATTTTATGTTTCTGTATATATGGTATACCATACAATACCATGTTATACCATATAATACCATACTAGTATTTGTAGAGTTTTTTAATGTAATAAACTTTACCATATTATACTATGGTCGTATTATATTTTGTACGGAATTAATGTTTCATTCTTTTTATGTTTTAGGTTTTGATGGTATAGATCTTAATGTTTGAAGTTCGTGGAACAAGCTTGAGTTTGGTACAACTGATGATGCATATAGATTTTATGTGGATTATGGGAACTATAAAGGTTTTGCTGTGAGGATTTACCATCAGTTGGCATGTCCGAAGCTTAATAATGGTTCAAATTCGGTTTATTATATTAAGTATTGTTGCAATAAGGAAGGCTGGAGGATTGGTAGTGAGAATAATCCTGCTAATCGTGGTTCTATTGATGTGAAGGCTCGTGTTCGTCGTGTTCCAGAAATCAGGGGTGGATGTGATGGTGCCTATATTCGAATTAGGTGGTTTAGGGAGTTTAAGTGTTATAAGATTTATAAGTGGTATGATGTGCATAACCATGACATGATTCCTGAGAGTATGCGTCACTACATGAGATCGAATAGACAAATGGCTCCTGTCTATAAAATGTTGGCTGATGTGAATGATGTTGCTGGTATAAGTGTGACTGCTTCATATAATGCAATTAGTACAACTGGTGGTGGTCGGAAGTGTATTGGTTTCACAAGAAATGATTTGAAGAACCATCTGCGGATAGTGAGGACGTCATCAATGGAGCATGGTGATGCAACTGCATTGTTAAAATACTTTAGACGACAAGCTAAGCTAGATCCTGGTTTTTTTCATGAGGTAGAGGTTGATGTGGACGAGAATATTTCTAGTATTTTTTGGGCAGATGGGAAGATGCGGATGGATTATTATTTTTTCGGGGATTCAGTTAGTTTTGATACTACATACAGAACGAATAAAGAGTATCGACCACTAGGTATGTGTTCTTATATTTGTGATTATTCTGTATTATAGTTATTTTGATTTGGTATTATGTTGTTATCTGTTAATACTATGGTGGTATTTTGTGGTATTTATTTTTTAACACTGTGTACCATATGGTATGTGCAGCTTTGTTTGTTGGTTTCAACAACCATCATCAACTCACTGTGTTTGCAGCTGCTCTTCTATATGATGAAACAACGACAACGTTTGAGTGGTTGTTTAATCAGTTTTTGGAATGCATGGGGGGTGTGAGCCCGTCGTCTATTTTTACTGATCAGGCTGCTGCAATTGCTGCTGGTATAAGGTCTGTTTTCCCAAGTTGTTTCCATGGATTGTGTTCATGGCATATCTCACAGAATGTCGTTGTTAATCTGTGATCTTTGTGTGATTCGGCTTTCTTTTGTGAGCTTAGCTATTTGATATATAATGTTGATGATGAGGATGCTTTTGAGTATAATTGGAAAAGAATGATAGATAAGTGTTTCCCTGGGAAATGACCTATTGGACACAGTTGGTTACAAGGTATTTACAAGGTCAGGGAGAAGTGGTCATCGGCTTGGGTGAATTCTCATTTTGGTGCTGTTATGAAGAGCACCCAGTTAAGCGAGTGTTGCAACAGTAATCTTCGTCATTACTTGCAGTCAGAATTTAGTATTCCTATGTTCTTGGTACATTTTGATAGGATGCTTGATAATAAGAGAGATGCCGAAGAAGAAGAAGAAGAAGAGGAGTACAGAGCACTTTCTACGTTTGTTGATTGTCGCTTTTCATGCAGTGCTATTGTCAAGCAAGTTGTTGATCTATATACGCCAAATATATTCCAGCTTTTTCTCGGGCAGTACAAAGAATCTCTTTCATACAATGTTTTCCTTAATACAGAGTTAGCTCAAGAAGGGAATGTAAAGATCTTTGATGTCTTCACATTGTTAGCAGATTTTTCAAGGTTTGACAGCAGACTGTTGATAGTTGATTTTGATAATGGTGAAATTAAGTGTACTTGTCGCAAGTGGGAGTCAAATGGTTTGTTGTGTAAGCATCAATTGAGGGGAAACGATTTGTTGTGGTCTACAACTTGCAATGTGAAGTTCCATCACATCCCTTCTACTTTGATTTTGAAGGGATGGACAAGGACAACAAAAACTGGTGGGAATTTTGGATTTGCAGTTTCGTCTACTGAGGCTTTGTCAAAGTATATGTCTCGTCTGTTCAATATTTCAGCTCTTTCTGCTTCGCTTATCAGTAGGGTTTGTTTGAATGATGATTTGTATAAAACAACCATGGATTTCATGAGTGATTTGATCAAGAAGGGTGAAGCTTTACCAATTGTCGAAACAGCTGGTACGGGTGGATCGACCAACTGTGAGAGTAAGTTCCCTCTCCCCCTTTTGTTTGTGTATATGATTTTGTTATTTTTTTGTCTGCCAAGTTTTTTTACCATGTTGTACCATGTGGTATAGGGTGGTTTTCAGTTTGTTTCTGCTGATGTTTTGTAATACTATATGATATAATGTGGTATATGTTTCATTTGTGATAAGTTGATTGTTCCTTTCTTTCTCTTGTTGCACCATTTCTTTGCTGTGATGGTGTATATAATTTTGTGATGTTTTTTTGTTTGCGAAGTTGGCTTACCATGTTGTACCATGTTGTATAGTGTGTGTTTCTTTTTTGTTTCTGGTAATGTGTTGGAATACAATATGGTATTATGTGGTATATGTTTTCTACTGATAAGTTGAATGTTTTTTTTAGTTGTTCCTATATATTTGTTATTGATTGTAGTATGCATTTCTTATTTGTAGGTGATGTTCCAATTCGAAATGTGAAGTGGTTTAAGCCTAAGAAGGATTCATTTAAGCCTTCAAAATGACCAATTACAGAAGCTTAGATTGGAAGAGCGGCTAGTAGGAAGAAGAAAAGGACTAGCAGATTGGAAGAGGAGAATTTGAAGGCTGTGGAAGAAAGTTTGAAGTTGAAGTTGTGATAGTTGTTTGAAGGTTGTGGAGTTTTATTAGCTGTTTTGATGTTGTTGAATTTTACGTGTTTCTTGGATTTTGTTTTTTGCTTTTGTTTGAAGTAGTATTGATCTGCACATGAGAAGGATTTAATGTTTCGTGGATGAATTTAACCTTTGATATAATGTTTTACTATGGTTTTTAAAAATGTGTTCAGTTACCATAAAATACTATATGGCGTGTTGTGGTGTTTTTAAAAATGTTTATACCATGTTATGCCATATGGTATACCATGGTATAAACATTTTGATTACTGTAATCTTAGATCTGTGTTGTGTTCAGTTACCATAAAATATCATGTGGCGTGTTGTGGTGTATTTAAAAATATTTATACCATGTTATACCATATGGTATACTATGGTATAAACATTTTTTATGACTGTAATCTTAGATCTATGTTGTGTTCTTATACCATGTTATACCTTATGGTATACTATGGTATAAACATTTTGATGACTGTAA